CACCCGAATGAGGGTTTTATTGTACACAGAACTCGGAGTTGCTGTCTCGGGTGGCAGTGGCTGTGAGCGAAGCCCAGGCTGAGGTGTGGACTGCGTCCAGTCATACCTGAGGGTGTCTGCAAGTTTCAGCAAGTCCCTATGTGAGATGTCACGGTTGCTTATAAGTGATTGTGAAGCGAGTTGCATGTTGGAGTATTCGAGGGGTGTCGAGCATTGAGGTCACCTGCTGCGTGGTCGCAGGGTGGCGCGCTCACGTGTGCGAGGGAATATCCGTCCAGCGGTTCAAGGTCATGGACTGAGGGCAGTCACCAGCGAAGACACATGGCCTTGAGGCCGCTCGCATTCAGCAAGGAAACATCGTTGGCTGTCGGCCAAATGAGCGAGTCTTCAGGACAGCCTGCAAGATTATGTTGGCAGTCGGCTAGGCCGACTCCTAACAGAAGCCTTTCTTTTTTTTCGTATTAATTTTAAAGCGATCAGCCTGAGCCATCTGCGTGTGATTTTGAAACGGAAGATGCGCATCTTATTTCTACTAATCTTAGTTTTAACCTCAATAGTATGCTTTTTGATATGCAGTAATTGACTCCTAAATATTCTCCCTTGTCATTTCCGCTTTAGTTCAGAATTGCCGTCTATAACAGTCTTGGCTCCGTTATGGACAGTAAGACGGTCAAGGTGGAGCCCAAGTGTCTTGCAATGGCCGGCGGCTATGTGGTAATCGCGGATAGTTCGCTAATTTATCTGTGGCAATTCAAAAATCCCAAAACTCTCTTCGGCATGGGTGCTGCTATCCACGTTCGCAATAAACAGCGAGAAGGTTTGGAGCGGTAAGCCAAGTTTTGAGCTATCGTAGCTGCTTCCCGTGGCTTAAACTACCATCGGTGGTCCCCTCTTCTGTTTTTAAAATTCGTGAAAGAAAATTGGATACTCAGACTCCTGTAGACAGTATGGACAATAATATTGGTTTTATCTCTAGGACAAAGAAGCGAGGTGATTAACGGACGCGGCAGAAGGTATAAAGGATGCTTAGATTTAGAGCATAAATTTACTGTATTACTGCACCAAGGTGTTCGATCAGATCCGCAATATAAAATATGCAATTTTTGGGGCGTGTCGACTGGCCGAAAACGGGGAATTCAAGGTTGAGAAGAAGTAGACGCGATCACTAAGATAAAAACTACTCGCCTGGCGTTTCGGATTCCACCATCAGAGAGTTCATCGGATACGGATACTTTATACATAAGGAGTTGCAGTATGTATAGGATGCAGTCACTATACCACTGCATACCTAAAACAATTATCGACTTCCCATTCGTCGAGGATGATGGCCCCTGGTGTGCTACTTGGCTGATGGCCGGTACGAGGGTCTTTGTCCGATGAAATTGCATCCACCCTGTCGGAAGTTGACGTGATGACTGCTCAGCCACCCGGCTCACCGGCATTGCGGTTGGAAAATGTGTTCCACTGCGCACTTTCTTAATGACCGATCGCATTAACTAGACAATACCTTAGCACCGAATATGGGTTAATCAGGTCATTGCACTTGTTTATAGGCTGGGTGCACGTGAACCATGATTCAATTAATTTGTGAAGCTCTCCGAGAATATAAATCTAATAGAAATTGGATCTCTGACCGGGTCTTCTCGAATGAAGCGTGACTTGAGAAGTAGTGTCACTTATCCGCACTGCTGCCACGTGTTTGGCAATTTGCACCCAGAACAGTCTCCCAGTTTTTCCGACGTTTATGCTTTCTCCGCAACTGCACCAGATAAGATAAACAACTCCAGATGTTTAATACTGCAACAGCAAGTCTTTTAGTCTTATTGCCTGACGCTTAAGGGATGCCTCCGGTCTGCCTGTGTGACTCCAACTCTAAGTGGAATGAGAAGGCAGCTGACGCCCTCTGAGATGCTTTTGACGTATAGAATCACTCGCCTAAATTTTAGGGTCGGTAGAAGTTTGTTATTCGTATCGTTTGCGTGCGCATCCATCGGTTGACGAGGTTGCACGGGCAGCCACTTTCTCTGAACACTGGTCGAAGATTTTACAGATAAGCATTCCTGTCTTCCAGTTCACTACGGTACGTCTCAACACTCGGCAATAGCGCCCTTATGAAACTGCCTTTACAGCTGATTGGGTGGCTGCTAATAAAGTTCAGTACTTAGTTCAGTATAGTTGAGTATATTTAGGGTAGTAGGCAATGCCTTTGAAGACCCCATTGAAAACAGTAGTCAATAGTTGTTCGCGCTGGTTCTGGATCCACCCTTGTGAATAGGGTATATTTTCGCAAATTTCCAATCGGATGGGAGGAGGCTTTGTATCATATTTGTCGTTCTTCTGAACACTTTAGCCCAACAGGTTACAGCGTTGAACTTCTAAGTAATCGTGAATTAGATAATAGGAATGGTTAAAAAATTGGGAGGCATTTGTGAAATAGCAGCGTACAACATATTCACTACAGTTCCCTTATGAAATGTTCATTTGAAAAAAATGTAATTTAAATCACACGATGGGTATGTTTGTGATCATATATCTTAATATAGGCAGAAGGACATTACCGACAAAGTAAAAGGAGTCTAGGATGGCAAATTCTGACTAATTGGCCGTCGTCAGCCAGTATACTCAAATCCAAGTGGTGCCCCACCCGAGTTTCGATCCCGCGACCTCGAGCCGCCTTGCGAAGTTGCTCGAGAGAGTGCCCCAAAGGCACCAAGGATGGACCAGTGTGTCCTGTAACTGATCGGTGTGTGCACCTATCTGCCCCTTTATTATAATATAACTTTCATCGTCTCCCAAAGTATTTATCTCCTTCGTAATAGATTAATCTTTCCTGCCGGCAAGCAGACTGGGTAACAAATTGTTCTTTCCAAAATATTATTAGACTAAAATGGTTGTATTTGGCAGGAAAAGCTACGATGCAGTCTATATCTACCTGCGACACGAGAAAAACCTCGGGATATCATTTACCTCCCCTGCTCACAGCTGTAAACAATATTTGGAGTTGTTCTTGATCAGCCAAGCATAACGCAGAGGCTTATTTTATTCCTTTTGTGCGCCTGCAGGATGGCACACA